TCTAGAGCGATTGCACTCAACCAACATTCCAGTCGCAAAACCCGATACCACCCCCCCCCCGATATGAGAATAGTAGCTGATCATGGTAGATGAATAGCCGATGCTATCATGTGTTTTATAATTTTAGAAGATACTTTGGGTCCAGATCATCTGTTTTCACCAACCAGAAGTCACCTCTAGAGCGATTGCACTCAACCAACATTCCAGTCGCAAAACCCGGATACCACCCCCCCCCGATATGAGAATAGTAGCTGATCATGGTAGATGAATAGCCGATGCTATCATGTGTTTTATAATTTTAGAAGATACTTTGGGTCCAGATCATCTGTTTTCACCAACAAGAAGTCACCTCTAGAGCGATTGCACTCAACCAACATTCCAGTCGCAAAACCCGATCCCACCCCCCCCCCGATATGAGAATAGTAGCTGATCATGGTAGATGAATAGCCGATGCTATCATGTGTTTTATAATTTTAGAAGATACTTTGGGTCCAGATCATCTGTTTTCACCAACAAGAAGTCACCTCTAGAGCGATTGCACTCAACCAACATTCCAGTCGCAAAACCCGATCACCACCCCCCCCCGATATGAGAATAGTAGCTGATCATGGTAGATGAATAGCCGATGCTATCATGTGTTTTATAATTTTAGAAGATACTTTGGGTCCAGATCATCTGTTTTCACCATCAAGAAGTCACCTCTAGAGCGATTGCACTCAACCAACATTCCAGTCGCAAAACCCGATACCCCACCCCCCCCGATATGAGAATAGTAGCTGATCATGGTAGATGAATAGCCGATGCTATCATGTGTTTTATAATTTTAGAAGATACTTTGGGTCCAGATCATCTGTTTTCACCAACCAGAAGTCACCTCTAGAGCGATTGCACTCAACCAACATTCCAGTCGCAAAACCCGATACCACCACCCCCCCCCGATATGAGAATAGTAGCTGATCATGGTAGATGAATAGCCGATGCTATCATGTGTTTTATAATTTTAGAAGATACTTTGGGTCCAGATCATCTGTTTTCACCATCAAGAAGTCACCTCTAGAGCGATTGCACTCAACCAACATTCCAGTCGCAAAACCCGATACCACCACCCCCCCCGATATGAGAATAGTAGCTGATCATGGTAGATGAATAGCCGATGCTATCATGTGTTTTATAATTTTAGAAGATACTTTGGGTCCAGATCATCTGTTTTCACCATCAAGAAGTCACCTCTAGAGCGATTGCACTCAACCAACATTCCAGTCGCAAAACCCGATACCACCACCCCCCCCGATATGAGAATAGTAGCTGATCATGGTAGATGAATAGCCGATGCTATCATGTGTTTTATAATTTTAGAAGATACTTTGGGTCCAGATCATCTGTTTTCACCATCAAGAAGTCACCTCTAGAGCGATTGCACTCAACCAACATTCCAGTCGCAAAACCCGATACCACCCCCCCCCCCGATATGAGAATAGTAGCTGATCATGGTAGATGAATAGCCGATGCTATCATGTGTTTTATAATTTTAGAAGATACTTTGGGTCCAGATCATCTGTTTTCACCATCAAGAAGTCACCTCTAGAGCGATTGCACTCAACCAACATTCCAGTCGCAAAACCCGATACCACCCCCCCCCCGATATGAGAATAGTAGCTGATCATGGTAGATGAATAGCCGATGCTATCATGTGTTTTATAATTTTAGAAGATACTTTGGGTCCAGATCATCTGTTTTCACCATCAAGAAGTCACCTCTAGAGCGATTGCACTCAACCAACATTCCAGTCGCAAAACCCGATACCACCACCCCCCGATATGAGAATAGTAGCTGATCATGGTAGATGAATAGCCGATGCTATGATGTGTTTTATAATTTTAGAAGATACTTTGGGTCCAGATCATCTGTTTTCACCATCAAGAAGTCACCTCTAGAGCGATTGCACTCAACCAACATTCCAGTCGCAAAACCCGATACCACCCCCCCCCCGATATGAGAATAGTAGCTGATCATGGTAGATGAATAGCCGATGCTATCATGTGTTTTATAATTTTAGAAGATACTTTGGGTCCAGATCATCTGTTTTCACCATCAAGAAGTCACCTCTAGAGCGATTGCACTCAACCAACATTCCAGTCGCAAAACCCGATACCACCACCCCCCCCGATATGAGAATAGTAGCTGATCATGGTAGATGAATAGCCGATGCTATCATGTGTTTTATAATTTTAGAAGATACTTTGGGTCCAGATCATCTGTTTTCACCATCAAGAAGTCACCTCTAGAGCGATTGCACTCAACCAACATTCCAGTCGCAAAACCCGATACCACCACCCCCCCGATATGAGAATAGTAGCTGATCATGGTAGATGAATAGCCGATGCTATGATGTGTTTTATAATTTTAGAAGATACTTTGGGTCCAGATCATCTGTTTTCACCATCAAGAAGTCACCTCTAGAGCGATTGCACTCAACCAACATTCCAGTCGCAAAACCCGATACCACCACCCCCCCCGATATGAGAATAGTAGCTGATCATGGTAGATGAATAGCCGATGCTATCATGTGTTTTATAATTTTAGAAGATACTTTGGGTCCAGATCATCTGTTTTCACCATCAAGAAGTCACCTCTAGAGCGATTGCACTCAACCAACATTCCAGTCGCAAAACCCGATACCACCACCCCCCCCGATATGAGAATAGTAGCTGATCATGGTAGATGAATAGCCGATGCTATCATGTGTTTTATAATTTTAGAAGATACTTTGGGTCCAGATCATCTGTTTTCACCATCAAGAAGTCACCTCTAGAGCGATTGCACTCAACCAACATTCCAGTCGCAAAACCCGATACCACCACCCCCCCCCGATATGAGAATAGTAGCTGATCATGGTAGATGAATAGCCGATGCTATCATGTGTTTTATAATTTTAGAAGATACTTTGGGTCCAGATCATCTGTTTTCACCATCAAGAAGTCACCTCTAGAGCGATTGCACTCAACCAACATTCCAGTCGCAAAACCCGATACCACCACCCCCCCCCGATATGAGAATAGTAGCTGATCATGGTAGATGAATAGCCGATGCTATCATGTGTTTTATAATTTTAGAAGATACTTTGGGTCCAGATCATCTGTTTTCACCATCAAGAAGTCACCTCTAGAGCGATTGCACTCAACCAACATTCCAGTCGCAAAACCCGATACCACCACCCCCCCCCGATATGAGAATAGTAGCTGATCATGGTAGATGAATAGCCGATGCTATGATGTGTTTTATAATTTTAGAAGATACTTTGGGTCCAGATCATCTGTTTTCACCATCAAGAAGTCACCTCTAGAGCGATTGCACTCAACCAACATTCCAGTCGCAAAACCCGATACCACCACCCCCCCCCGATATGAGAATAGTAGCTGATCATGGTAGATGAATAGCCGATGCTATGATGTGTTTTATAATTTTAGAAGATACTTTGGGTCCAGATCATCTGTTTTCACCATCAAGAAGTCACCTCTAGAGCGATTGCACTCAACCAACATTCCAGTCGCAAAACCCGATACCACCCCCCCCGATATGAGAATAGTAGCTGATCATGGTAGATGAATAGCCGATGCTATCATGTGTTTTATAATTTTAGAAGATACTTTGGGTCCAGATCATCTGTTTTCACCATCAAGAAGTCACCTCTAGAGCGATTGCACTCAACCAACATTCCAGTCGCAAAACCCGATACCACCACCCCCCCCGATATGAGAATAGTAGCTGATCATGGTAGATGAATAGCCGATGCTATGATGTGTTTTATAATTTTAGAAGATACTTTGGGTCCAGATCATCTGTTTTCACCATCAAGAAGTCACCTCTAGAGCGATTGCACTCAACCAACATTCCAGTCGCAAAACCCGATACCACCACCCCCCCGATATGAGAATAGTAGCTGATCATGGTAGATGAATAGCCGATGCTATGATGTGTTTTATAATTTTAGAAGATACTTTGGGTCCAGATCATCTGTTTTCACCATCAAGAAGTCACCTCTAGAGCGATTGCACTCAACCAACATTCCAGTCGCAAAACCCGATACCACCCCCCCCCCGATATGAGAATAGTAGCTGATCATGGTAGATGAATAGCCGATGCTATCATGTGTTTTATAATTTTAGAAGATACTTTGGGTCCAGATCATCTGTTTTCACCATCAAGAAGTCACCTCTAGAGCGATTGCACTCAACCAACATTCCAGTCGCAAAACCCGATACCACCACCCCCCCCGATATGAGAATAGTAGCTGATCATGGTAGATGAATAGCCGATGCTATGATGTGTTTTATAATTTTAGAAGATACTTTGGGTCCAGATCATCTGTTTTCACCATCAAGAAGTCACCTCTAGAGCGATTGCACTCAACCAACATTCCAGTCGCAAAACCCGATACCACCCCCCCCCCGATATGAGAATAGTAGCTGATCATGGTAGATGAATAGCCGATGCTATCATGTGTTTTATAATTTTAGAAGATACTTTGGGTCCAGATCATCTGTTTTCACCATCAAGAAGTCACCTCTAGAGCGATTGCACTCAACCAACATTCCAGTCGCAAAACCCGATCCCCCCCCCCCGATATGAGAATAGTAGCTGATCATGGTAGATGAATAGCCGATGCTATCATGTGTTTTATAATTTTAGAAGATACTTTGGGTCCAGATCATCTGTTTTCACCAACCAGAAGCCACCTCTAGAGCGATTGCACTCAACCAACATTCCAGTCGCACAACCGGATCCCCACCCCCGATATGAGAATAGTAGCTGATCATGGTAGATGAATAGCCGATGCTATCATGTGTTTTATAATTTTAGAAGATACTTTGGGTCCAGATCATCTGTTTTCACCAACCAGAAGCCACCTCTAGAGCGATTGCACTTATAATTTTTTATTCACTTGTTATAATTTTAGAAGTCATTTTGGAATGCGGACGAAGATAGGCTCAATCATTCTATTCTTGCTCCTTGTAGGTGCGGACGCTGCTCGGGTCGAAGCCCAGATCCAGGAAGCGCTTCAGCCGATGGTAGGAACATTTGTCTGAAAAATCTGGTTTGCTATCGGAATCTCCAAAATCAAAAACCCGACAATCAGAATCCGAAAATCAAAACTGAAATAACTTTTTAAGATTCGAAAATTTGCTCTGTTTTGGTCAGTTTTCACACATTTTTGGCCAAAAAGTTACAGTTTTCGCGAATTTTTATTATTTTTATAAAATTTTTATATTCAGCAACTAAGTAAAATGCTATCGAAATGTTTTATAGGTTGTTATATGGCTACAGACACACAGATAAGGGAAAATTTGGGGCACCCGCTGACCCCCCCTCCCCCCGCCCCCCCTAGCTAACAGCCCAGAACCAAACTTCCTTTAAAACCGACCCTTTAGCCCGCAGTTTCGATTGCAGATCGGCGTGCCGGGCTTCGGCTGGCGCCTCAGGGCGCTCCTGGAAAGGACCAGTTGTTTCGATTCATTGCAAAACCTTCACTTCGTTGAGTTCTATGTTAATTCGGAACTAGAGATACGGTGCCGGCCAAAAATCATATTTTTTCATCATATTTCATATGTAATATATTCTATCATGTTTAATAGAAACTCTTTAAATGATGATAGCTCAATAAACTAGCAAAGCTATCTTGAAACCTTAAACAATGTTAAAAAAAGTTGATATTCGTCGGTCAAAAATCGGTCCTTTTCCTCGAAAAATCTATATTTTTTATATTTTTTAATAGAATTTTGTAAAGTTTTCACGTTCACAGTAAAAACCGGTAAGAAACACCTCTACAATTTGTATTTGAAAAGATTGAAAGTGATGAAGCGAGCGCTGAACTCGGCAAGAATAGAAACTTACAGGAAATCGCGCCTGCACTGCCAGCAGGCCAAGGGTCCATAGGTGTCTTGGACCTCGCCGGCGAACCCGCACCGACTACAGAGGCCGACCTGAAACGGCGCAGGGCTTAATGTAACTCTTTTTTGCATGTGGGCATTACGGTACTTCGCTGTCTCCGCGAGTTTTAAAAAAATTCGCAAAAATACCTCACTAAAAATTCACAAAAACAATTTTTTACTAATAAAAGTAAAAATTTTCGACCAAAAATGGCAGATGTTGGATCAAGGATAAAGACAGATAAATGCAAAATTTACCCACCGGGTGTTCCTGGGGCTTCCGGCCGACCTAAATCGGATAGTTAAAACAGGTTCTTGGATGTCGTTTACGGTGCGTTTATATGCGTGTTTTGGCATTAGTTCATTGTACCGAACACACTTAGCTGGAATTTATCTAAATAAAAAACACAAGGTCGATCTATCGCAACTCACAAAAATATCGAAAAATCGCTCTTTAGGAAGACGTTCAAAGCGTTTTCTTGTTTTCCCATCAATTTTTTATATTATGGGATTTTGAGCTAAAATTAAAAATCTGGCTCCATTTTTGGATGCTATATTTAATGATGACAAAAAAACAGCCGAAAAAATCGGGAAAATATCGAAAAGAAAGTACGTACTTTGTGCACTTTTTTTGCGGGACGTCCGGGTCCCCGGCGGCTCGGCTGTGCGGCTTTCGCGTCAGCTTCTCCCTAAATGTGAGTTTTTAGGAAGAATGATTTTTAGGGAAACGCGTTTTAGGAATCATAGAAATGAAACTTTCAAAGATTTTTAGGTTTTACCGGGGCTTCTACAAATTGCTTCAAGGGCCCGAAAATCGGCATTATGTAAAGTCGGCATTATATAAATCGGCATTGAGGAAACATTTAAGCTTTGAAGTTTTTAATGAAAAAGCAAAACGACGGGGACGGCCCGGGGGCGAACCCTGACCTTCTGCGCGGCAAGCGAACACAAAACCAATGCACCAGCAGGCCGTGGGAAGGGGAGAGGACAGGCCCTCTTCCGCCAGACCCCTTATTCACGCATTAGGGAACAGAACCTGCCGGCTATAGCGTGGACCAATTTCATAAAATTGGGAGGTGAACGTTTCTTTCAGATTTAATTAAGCAAGTAATGCCTGTATGGCTAAAAACAGAGTAAACTACTGTACAATGACTTATACGGCTGCCACAGGGAAAACAAAATACCGGATCTTTGGGCGCAGCGGCCGTGGTCTTGATGGGGCTGCCAGAAGGAGAGTTGGTGAGGGCGCAGACGATGGCGGCCTAAACGCGCCAACATTTAATTTGAAAACTTCGAAAAATATAAATGTTTTTACATTTTACATTTCACGAAAACATTTTTCTCTTCAACTTTTTTTTGATCCTTTTTTGGTTCTTTTGCTTTAACACTCTACTAAAACTACACATTTTTTTCATAAGATCTGATTTTTCAAAAATAAATGGTGGAAGTCGTTCCCCAGCTGTTTTTACTATTTTTAAAGGTGAAAACCTGACAAATTTTGGCAACAAAAGATTTCGCTAAATCGATTTTTGGAGCAAAAATCATCGATTTTGGCCCTCTTCCATCCGATCAGCACCAAATTTTTACTAGTGTTGGGGGCCCATAACAGCTATGTGCAGTCGAATTTTCTAAGCAAAATATTGTCAAAGAAAAATAGTTATTGTTAAAGTAGTTGTTGTTTCGGAGAAGCTGGTACTCATTTTTGGCTTTGTTTTCGCAATTAGCATGCCGATTTTGAGTTATTTACCGAAACAATTTTCATTTGCCGGTCGGTTTCTGCCAAGTTTCAAAGTGCAAAGTGAGGAAAACTCCCAATATCAACGGCCTTTTCGTAAATCAAAAAAATTTGCGACAAAAAGACAGGAACAAAAGAGGTAAAAGTTTTTTTGGGGACACTCTGTACGCTCGTGTCGTTTGCGTTCGTGTCGTAAAACAGTAGCCGAGGCGAATTCTGGTAACTTTTTTACACGTTTCCTGGCGCAAATAACGCCTGCACGCCTGTAACGTCACCCAGAATTATTCGTCACCATTTATTCGACACAAAGGCCACATAGGAACAAAGGAAAGGCAATACACGTATTGGTTTAAGGCTTTTGTAGTAGTAGTCGATGTGATAGTTGGAGGCATTGTGGCTTATTTCTGCGGCACGGCGCCCTGAAAAAGCGGAATATAGGAAAAAACATATATTTCATAGAAACTTGTATGCGGCGACATGGTTTTTGGCCTTATTCCGCTTTTTCAGTTCGCTGACGTAGGCTACGCTACTACGCGTTGAAAACAACGCAACACAGAAAAATTATGGCAAAAAATACAATAGAATTTGAAACGCCCCCGAAAAACCCGGTTTTTTGAGAATATACCAGGCAAAATATCAATGATGTAAAATATCGATTTGATAATTTATCATGGATTTTTATCAATGTTTTGAGTATTTTTTTTGATTTCTGAAACCACGCCCCCCCCCGTCAAAGAAAAATAATTTAGAAGATAGTTTTACAAAATTTGGAATTTTTGACCTTTTGAGGGCATTTTCATTACATACATTTTGACTAAAAGGTCAAAAACCTTCAAACATTTTTCTAATTTTTGCTGGGTCTTCATATAACGAAAAACTGCGTAAAAACACGATACTAAGGTTATATTTTGTTATAGCGACCTACCGGAGGAGTAGTAGCCACAACGGCGGCATTAGGATGCAGATTCTGGGGGGTCCGAGCGGTTGCAGTGACGATCGGGGTGGAAACGGCATTGGTCTGAACGGTAAAAAATAATACCGGCCCTTTCAAAATATTTAAATATCTAAATGTCAAAATTCGGCTACGGTTTACCTTCCCCATTACCCCCAAAAAAAATTTTTCGATTTTTCCACTATTTTACGGGATTTTTTAGCCATTAGATAGAGCGTCAAAAAATCTACTGTAAGTTTTAATCATAGCTCAAAATATTGCTATAAAATTCCTACCTTATGTAATTTTGGCGTGTATCTCTGTGTGTGTGTGTGTGTGTGTGTGTGTGTGTGTGTGTGTGTGTGTGTGTGTGTGTGTGTGTGTGTGTGTGTGTGTGTGTGTGTGTGTGTGTGTGTGTGTGTGTGTGTGTGTGTGTGTGTGTGTGTGTGTGTGTGTGTGTGTGTGTGTGTGTGTGTGTGTGTGTGTGTGTGTGTGTGTGTGTGTGTGTGTGTGTGTGTGTGTGTGTGTGTGTGTGTGTGTGTGTGTGTGTGTGTGTGTGTGTGTGTGTGTGTGTGTGTGTGGATGTCACTTCGAGGCCCGATTTAAGGGCCTTCCGTGCATAAAATGTTCTAATTCTCCGTCACTCCGGGGAATCGACCCTGCTGTTTCCGATGGCGTTGTCAGAATTTTGATCAAATACAAGTTTACAAAGTTAACGCCGGTTTTATTCATTTTTGGGGGTCCCTGAAGGCTAATTTGCATAATGCGAAAAATTGAAATTTCCTCATTCTTGCAAGTTGCGCTCGCCTATGCGGTCGGTTGGGGGAGGGGTGGCCCGAAGGACCCAGGCTATCGGAAAGTCAATTTCTCATGCAAGGGCCGCATTCCAGCGCCCATGGCCCGCGAAGCGGGTTTTGGACGCTGGTTGCTATATAAAAAAGTTATAACAAAAACAGTCCTTGAAAACCGGGTCTAATCGCCGGATTTCGATATTTTTCTCAACTTTTGAAAGAAAAAACCTAAATTTAACGTCGAAAATAGGTCAATTCTGATATATGTCCCACGATACCTACCGTAACCTTGCATGCTAAAGTGCTGACTACTTCAAGGTCTTGAAATTATCAACGAGAGCGGAATGTACCTTTGAGTTACTAATCATTTCCGGGATTATGGGAACAAAGTTGGCCCCCCCCCCCGATATTGCGCAAGAACCAAATTTCCGAATTGTTACTTTCGACGTGATGATTATTCGAAGTAATGAAATTCGGCATTATGAATTGACATACAGCTGTGCGGATCCCTGGAGAAAAGGGAGGTGCAGATCCGTTGTTGTCGGTCCGGGCCGGCGGGTCGGTGATCTTCTACAAAGTAAAGTGTGCCCGATCAGGTATTGGAGCTTGTGGCCCCTGGAGAATTGCTTACCTGTTGTGGGAAGATGTGTTGAGGGTCATGGCAGAGCGTCTAAAATATCACTTTAGCGAAGTCAACGCCATTTTTCAGAATACATCAGGGTTGGAAAACCATGTCGTGGCTTTTCAACCCTGGTCGCGGCTCATAAACAGGTCCTTTCGCATTATCGGGGGGAGGAGGAGAAATGCTTTTCTTAGGAACAATTTTTTCATTTTTTTAGAGAGCTGAAGTCTTTCTAAAGGGTTTTTTAGTATTCCTAGGCTTAACTTTACAAATTGATAATTTTTTTTTAAATTTCAAAATCTATCAATTTTTTGCCCGAAAAATGACCGCTTTTCACCAAAAATTCTTTGAAACTTTTTTTGAAAATGTCTGATAGTGTTTCTAGTCAAAATATAGTTTTATTTTACTGAAAACATTATGAAAATACTTCCTAACAATTCATTGGGCATTTGGGCATTTCCACGTGTTTCCCCCTCCGATATTGCGAAAGAACGCAGCAACAAGCCAATATTGGATTTCCGTAGTTCTTCCCGATGCCCAGATATTCAAATGCAAAATTACACAGATACATTTAATTTCATCCGAAAAACGGAATTTACGACGGCTTTTAAATAACCTGGTTTTGGGTATAATTAAGAAATAATTTTAAATTAAGCCATTTCGGCTAAAATCAAAATATAGCTTGAATAGGAGCACTGAGGCTCTAGGAATTTTACAAAGGCAAAGGCAAAAGTGGTTCCATCCCCAATGATCCCCCGCTAAGCGACCTTTACCTAAGAAAACAAAAAATGGCGAACACTCTGAACGTTTTTAAAGCTAATCCGATGTGGTAAAAACGCTACCGTATCGAACGCCGCCGACGTGGCCGTCAGTGGTGTTGGCGCGTACTAAATGGCGTAGAATGCGAGAGAATTCTGGGGAAGTTCTACCTGCGGGGCCTGGTATTCCTCAATTGGCTCGAGCTAAAAAAAATGGTTGCTTTGCAATACCGGGGCGTGACGGGGACCAACTTTTTTCCATAGGACCCAATTTTCCTATTCCACAGGGTATCCCAAAAAAAAGTCGGTCCCCTCCAGCGGTCCGGAAAAGTGCCCGATTTTGACGATTCGGGGGTTATATTGAAAAAAACTGAAAGTGCGGTTTCATTTTTTTTCTTGTTCTTGTTTTGCAAGAGCTATCCAAATGTTCGAGAGACCAGCCTATCTCTCGAAAATATCCTACCTTATATAATTTTGGCATGTATCTCTCTGTGTGTGTGTGTGTGTCTGGATGTCAGTTTCGAGCCCCGATTTAAGGGCCTTCCCGTGCATAAAATGCCCTAATTCTCCGTCACTCCGGGGAATCGACCCTGCTGTTTCCGATGGCGTTGTCAGAATTTTGATAAAATACAAGTTTACAAAGTTAGCGCCGGTTTTATTCATTTTTGGGGGTCCCCAAAGGCTAATTTGCATAATGTGTAAAATAGAAATTTCCTCATTCTTGCGAGTTGCGCTCGCGTATGTGGTCGGTTGGGGGGTCCGAAGGACCCAAGTTATCGGAAAGTCCATCTCTCATGCACGAGCCGCATTCCAGCGCCCAAGGCTTTGGGCGCTGGTCAACTATAATCTCTGTCTGTCCGTCTTTCGAAGCCGACTTCTACTCGAAGGGGAAAAAAGCTAGAGCTTAAGTTCTCTTCGGATTCGGATAGAGTGCGGTCAGAAACCCCACACCGTTAAAAATTATGGAAAAGTTTATGCTTAAATTATTAAATTTAACTTTGAAGGTGGTGTCTTAATAAAACGAGTAATGAACGGATATTTGCAAGATTTCGGTCATAGTGAGCCAGGCCGTGCGCGTTTCGGCAAGGAGGGAGCCCAGGGGGCAGCCCCAAGTCCAGCCGCTTATGGTCTCTCGAAAATTTAGGTAGCTCCTGAAAAGAACAGAACACGAAAAAGAAACGAAAAAAGCACTTTTCGTTTTTCAATAAGAGCATTTTAATTCACAGTGCTGTTTTTCAGTTTTTTTTTTAATAGCGCGAGAAAGATGCATTTGGCAAAAAAGGAAAGAATTGGTCGTGAGTCGAACCAGCGATGGTTCACCCCACAGCCCAGCGCGCTCCTTTCCAGCCTGATCCTTGTCCCTGTGATTATACCGTTTTTTTGTCCTTGCGTTGGCGTTGTAGCTCTCGTTCTTTCGCTTTGAGCTAAAAGAGACAGCCGGATGCATCTTGTGACTGCACTGACCTTTTCCTTTAATCCGGCTATTCTCTCCTTCCGCGCAGCGATGTCATGTTGATACTCTTCCAACTGTAAATAAGATACCGTATTTCCTCTAATATCAATTTGGGAGGTCGGTCCTGTCACAAATTTTTGAAAGCGCACTATAGAGCTGGAGACACGGCCGATTTTCACGTTTGTTACATGATTTGATGGCTCCTCTACCATGAGAAAAGCCGCATAGGGTCGAAAAGTTTATGGACGCGGAGATACACGCCCAGTCAAGTTTTTGGAAAAATTATATAAAAGTGGTTCGGTGCGTTATCTCTGCATGCTTGCATGCGATACCGTTAACGCCAATCGATAGATCTCGGTGAGCAGATACCGAGAGATGTCGAGATCGTTAAAATCGGAGACAGGATAGCTGAGATACGGTCCCTTGAAATTTCTTAGAACTTTTCCCGAAATGCCATGCATTTTGCACACCCGGGCCAAATCTTGCCACTTTTTTTTTGAGCGCTCCGAGAAGATTTGGTCAAAATGTATGCGTTTTTGGGGAAACGTTCCAAGAAATGAGCGAAATTTTAAGGGGCCATAGCTCGGACATCCAGTGTCCAATACGCTCTCAACATTTATAGATATCTACTCCTCGAGAGCTATCGCTTCGTGTAAGCCGTATTGCATGCAAAACACTGCATGGAGGGATAAAGTTGTAAAAATATAACCCCGGGGGTATATTAGAGGAAAGGAAACCAGGGTTGAAAAGCCGCTTCGCGACTTTTCAACCCTGGCAGCCTGATCCCATGATGTGCTTGGCTTTGCATAATTATGCCCGAATTCCGAAGACAAAAAATGAAAAAAGTTCCTTCTTCCCCCTTATATGGGCTACCACCACTTCCAGTATATGCTAGTTTTTTCCTAACAAAGTGGATTCCCGAAAATTTTACAAAACTTAAAATTGAATGTCGAACATAGCTGATTTTCTTAATTCACATACGTGTGCAGTCATTTCAGTGCTATTACGCACCTAATGACGTATCATACGTACCTTTAAATTCCTTGCCTATCGAGATATCCTCCGAAAATGGTGACAGAAGTTGCATGCAAATCGACACACACACAGACACTATTTTTATCTATACTAAAAGTTTTAATTTCAGCCCACGATAATGTAAGAAAAAATTCACGGGCAAAAAATTTTTGCCACCGACCAAATAGAACAGTTCGAAAACAGAACCAAACTCACCTTGTCGCCCGCCTTTTTCGTCGCATCCATTACGTCCTTCGCCTTATCCGAAATGAGCCTAGCCTCCCAGATGCTTTCTTCTACCGCCTGATGGATGGGATTTTGTCGTAGAAAATGTTGTAAATTTGGTTCTAGATAAGACTCCAGATAACCCCCAGCCGGCCCCCAACTTTTTTATCTCGGTTCGCTGTTTATCTACAGGTGTGTAAAGTATACCAAAATGTTCGTCTTGCTTTGGCGAGTATTTTCGTATACTTTTCACACCTGTAGATGAACAGGGAGCCGAGATACGGTAGGCGGGAGTCGGTAGGCGGGGGGTATTTGGAGTTCAGCCAGGTTCTACAATAATTTCTTGCGGGTTTTTTTTCTTTGAAGTGTTTTTTCAAGCATCTCCATGCTGTGGAAGCTGATGTACTATGTCTTTTGCAGAGCTTTTAACCCTCTACAAGAATACTACAATACTACAATTCCTTGCGGACATTTATGGCACGAAAGTAGCCAATACAGGCTGTCCCAAACCGCCCCCCCGGCTTTTGGCCCTCTTCCATCCGATCAGGACCAAATTTTAACGAGTGTAGGGGACCAATAACAACTATGTGCAGCCGAATTTTCTAAACGAAATATTGTAAAAAAAGAAAGTTATAGCAACATTAAGGTTTATTTTGCCAATTTGACTTGGATTTTGTTGGATTTGCACCTTGAAATATTTAGCAAAAATTAAGAAGGCACTTTTCCGCTCGGAGGGATTTCTGGATTTACGAAAGTTCCGTCTAACTTGGGACTTTTGATCACTTTTTATGATCACAATTGGCACAACCCCCCAGCCGAAAATGATGATTTTTGGAAAAATTACTCAGATTCGGCATGCTAATTGCGAACACATAGCCAAAAACGAGTACCAGCTTCTCCCAAAAATCAATTTTTTAACGATAACTTTTTTGATTTACAATAGTTTGCTTAGAAAATTCGGCTGCAAAGAGCTTGTGTGCGTCTCCGGCACTGTTAGAGAATTGATCCCGATCGGATGGAAGACGGCCAAATGCCGAGGGCTTTTTGGGATCCCCGGTGTGCGCTACAAGGGAGAGTCCCTAAATATCGTCACGCTTGGAACTTTTGCGTTTTGAGTATCGAGAGAACGAAGCTCGTTTTGAAGGTTTGGTTTGGTCATAAAAATGACAATTAAGTAACTTAATCTAGTCCACGAGAACCGCTAGTTTGCTCGCCTGTTCGAGGGCTTTCGATAGATGCCTAAATCGCCTCACTCGGACCGGTCTGCGGTAGGCTAGAGCGGTCTATTATTTTGGGTCACCCTGCATATTTTAGCGAAAAATTTGCCACCTCGTCAATTTGCTCGAATTTTATCTTCTCCAGCATTCCCTTCGACCGCCCTTTCCGTATGGCCCTTCGACATGTCTAAAGTGGTGGTGTACAACGGTTTTCGTCAACAGTACCAGAAAACAATTGGCTCGTTCGCATTATCGGGACGTCGTGGGGGGGGGGGGGATTTGCCTAGCTGATTGTTAGCCTAGCTTAAAATACCTAGTACCGCAATCTAACGGATTTTCATGGTATTTTTAGTCAAATAAAACTCTATTTCAGCTGGAGAATCAATCCAAAAACTGTCGGCATTTTGCCAAAACGGCCATTTCAGTCGAAAACTGGAGATTTTTGTATGTTTCAACGAGAACCTGCAATATGTCGGAGAATTGGGGGATTTTGAACATGGGATGGCCCTCAAAGCGGGCTTCGAAAGCGTCAGCTGCACCCCACACATAGTTCCTTGCCAAATTTATATAAGGTAGGATTATGAACTGGGAGCTTCAGCAAAGGGTTTGGTTATCCCGCCGATAATGCGAATCAATCCGAATTGCCATCGATTCAAAAAACTAGACCGTACACGGTCATACAGCTTCACTCGATGTACATCACCGGCTGCCACCAGACGCGACTTTGAAGACATTGAAGACATGACATCGGGAATCGGTGAGCCCTAAACCATGCTTTTTGGCTACGGTGGATTTCAAAATACACAAAGTCTTGCCAAGCCAAAACCAAGCTCAAAACCTGCCATGTACAATTTCTGGTTCTTGTGTATTCCGGGAGGGGGAGGGAAAACCAACTTTTTGTCCTGCCGGCCCTGGTGGGGATAGTAATCGAATATAACGTGTTTCAAATTGTTTTTAGCAAAATTTAAGCCTATTTGAATCGGAAAAACGTTTTAAAACGTTAAAAAAACGGCTTGAAAAGTCGAAAATTTGGTCATCCTTGGGCCACAAAAAATGATTTTTCGACCTAAAATTATACTTAAATTTTGTAAAGTTTTTATGCTTAGAAATAGCTATGGACAGTTTAGAAACCCTTCCACTATTTATATTAAAAAAATCTAGGCTTGGGCCGGAAAAAGTTCGGTCCCCCCCGGAATACACAAGAATCAATTTCTCCTTTCGTACTTTAGAAGAAGCCCAGGTGGCTGACGTGTCGGCACGCGCGTTGGCGAGGGCCCCAGCGGAGACGTCGTCGGATGATGGCTGAAAGTTCCTCAATTATAAAAGGTGTTGAAATCCGGCCTTTTTCCAGCCGTCACAACGTTTTTCGATTGCGTTTGTTAAGTTCGAAAGATCCAGCACCCTCAAAAATGCCGCAAATCGATAAAATCGATATATAAATATAAATCACTCGATAAAAATATTTTCCTTAAAAGCTTGTCTTGCCAGAATAAATCCGCGGAAACCTGCCGGAGATGACGAATGGTCGCGCGAGTCCTCGGGGGCGCCCTCGCTCTCGATCGAAGAAGGAGCAAGCGTTGATGGAGGTGTAGTTGGAGGAGCGGTGGTCGTTGTGTGTGGCTAAAATTTCTCGATATTAAAGGGACGCGGAAGTGGCAGAAGCCCTTTTGGGAGAGGCCTTATATTTCTGGCAATTTGCGAATTATAGTGTTTTCACAAAGAAACTGCGCAAACATCGAAAGGGCCACGGCTCCCTCTCCTCCCGCTGCCTGGCTGGCAATTTGCCAGAAATATAAGGAATTCTTTTCGGACCAAGCCTAAATTTTTTATAAATAGCGGATGCGTTTTTAGATGGTTTTTAACTATTCCTACGCATAAAAACTAAACAAATTTTTATTCAAAAATTGAATTTGTGGTCGCAAAAAAAATACTAAAGAACCTTTAGGATTCGCGGGAGGGTGAAGCCAAAATGGACAAATTTTCGACTTTTTCAGACATTCTTCTAACTTTTTATTGAAAAGTTTTCTAGTTTAAATATAGTTAAAACTTTTATATATTTGATTACTAGGTCAATCGGGACGCCCAGGGAAAAAATTGGAATAGATAGATAAATAATGACTTAAGGAAGGAAATAGATAAATATTCACCGAGTCAACGCGATCGGGGGGCGGCTTGGACTTGTAGCCTTGTGTGTCGTAGAAAGAGGGATGTTGAAGGGCGGGATAGTTTTTGCCGTCGACCTCCTTGGGCGTTGTGGCTTGACCATCGAGCATTCCATTTTCCTCTTTCTTAAAAAGATTTTAATGATACGAATTACAGGCCCTCAAATCCTTGATTGTGACTTTCTATCAATAGAAAAACGACTAAAAACACCATAAAAATCCATTGTTTACGATCAGGGACGTAGCGTAATACAGGCCCCGGGGGCCCGGGCCCCCTCCCCCCCCCGAAATCGGCCCGGGGCCCGAAAATTTCATAAGGGGGGACCCTTATGATTTTGATTTTCTCAAAAATGTTGCTGCCTGCGGCGCTTTTTTTTTGCACATTTTTACGGCTATTTTAGAGCTATGTAACCTTTTTTTCAAAATTTTTGCCGGCGGCGCTGTTTTTAGGCAATGTTTGAGCTTTTTGGGAAAATTTTTTGGGCCCCCGAAATTTTTTCTGGCTACGCCCCTGTTTACTATTAACAGCTAGGAATCGACGAAAAAAAAAGCAAAAAATGTGCCCCCCGCTCAGTCTAGTACCCTATTCGCTCCCCCGCCTTATTTGTAAGTTTTCGACGAGTGCACCAACCATTGGAGGACGACGACAGCAAGAAAGGCGTGCCAATGTCCTCGCCCCGAACGCGCAAAAACGGGCCCAAGCCGACGACGCCGATGTATCGACAATTCCCTGGAATTAATCGAATCGAATCGAATAAATATTGCGTAATGGCAAAAAGTGGGCGCCTTTGGAATATCTGGTGAGGGAAACATCCTTTTTCCCAAGGTGCGCACTTCCAAAGTTTTCCAAAGTAAAGTCGAGCCAGCTGGCGAAATGCTTTGTAATACTGCTAAACGTAAAACTAGACAAATTTCCCCAAAACTGCTTGCAAAGAATATTTTGAAAAAGCGCAATTAGAATACTATTCGACTAGGCATTTCCGGAAATACAGCACAAATTAGCTCCTCTCGGAAATATTCAAATACTGCAAAGATCACAAAAATGATTTTTTCCACCTAAAATTATACTTAAATTTTGTAAAGTTTTTATGCTTAGAAATAGCTATGGACAGTTTAGAAACACTTCCACTATTTATATTAAAAAAATCTAGGCTTGGGCCGGAAAAAGTTCGGTCCCCCCGGGAATACACAAGAATCCAATTTCTCCTTTCGCACCTGAGAAGTGGCCAAGGTGGAAGAAGTGTCGGCACGAGCAATGGCGAGGGTCCGAGCGGAGACGTCGTCGGATGTAGGCTGAAAGTTCATCAATAATAAAAATGTTTTGAAATCCGGCCTTTTCGAGCCGTCACAATGTTTTTCGACTACGTTTGTTATGTTCGAAATATCCAGCACCCTCGAAAATGCCGCAAATCGATAAAATCGATATATAAATATAAATCAATCGGTAAAAATATTTTCCTTAAAAGCTTGTCTTGCCAGAATAAATCCGCGGAAACCTGCCTGAGATGACGACTGGGGCGAGTCCTCGGGGGCGCCCTCGATCCAGATCGAAGACGTAGCCGAGGTTGGTGGAGGCGTATTAGGAGCAGCAGACGTGGCTGTGACTGGCTAAAATTTCTCGATATTAAAGGGACGCGGAAGT